CCCATTCCCGTCTAGCTCGCGATGAAGCACTCCCTCATCCGTGCTCCCCAAGGAGGGACTCCATTGCGCGGGAAAATGAAGAAGGCACCCGGTTCAGATTTCAAATACCAGAGGAACCCAAATTCTGACGATCTCGACTCTTCCTTCCCTGCTTCTCCTCCCCAGATTTCCGATATTACCGATAACTTCTCTGCCTCTTCGTCGAATTCGGTGATTGCAGCCGCCGGCGACCTTGATGATGCAGAATCGAGCCATCCGATTATTTCTCTACTATTGGAGAACTCCTCCGATCAATCCGGTCTACCAGAGTTCCCGCCTACGCCTTTGGTGGAACCAGTCGGAGCTACTTTGGAGAACGTCGAGGAGGCGAGCATATCGATAACAGCGGCATCCTTCATTGAAGAGGCTGTAGAAGGGGAAGGTAGTTATGCGGAGAAGGTGAGCTCCTAACTAGATCATCTCTTTACTTCTATTGCACTTGATTTCCCATAATATGACAAGTTTCCTCTGTTTTTAGATCTTGACCGAATTGTCGGAGGGGGCTGCTCAGCCGGGAGCTCAGATCGTCATGGAAAAGTGTTCCGAGATGGATGGGGGAGAGCAGAATCTGGAGGTAGCGCTGGTCGGATTCTCTACGGCGATGGAAAAGCTGTGCGACTCGATCAGAGAGGTGCTATTGCCCGCGGTGGAGCAATGGAAGCGACGAAACTGGATTGACGGCTTCTTCTTCTTCTTTCTTGTGACCCTAGGAGGGATGACGCTGGCATTCTTTATCGGCGCTGTGCTATTCTCCGTTCTACTCACCTCCGTGGCTCCCGAAGGCTACCTGAGCTTGAATAGTTTGCCTGAGTTCAACAGACCTACCCCGACTTGATCCTTAGGTCGGGCATTAGAAATGCTTCACCGTAAGTATATTTCTTTTAATTAGAAGGCTTAAAAATACGACTACTGAGTTTGCGGAAAGTGAATAGATATGTGACCATCATAGCGGAACCCTTCTTTTATCATATGTTCTGGAGGTGGTTTTAAGTCTTTCAATTACAAGGAGAATAACATTCTCGGTTGTTTTTTTTGAAAATATTTTGTATTGAACTGATAAAAAAAATTGAAGAAACAACCCTTTCGAAAAAAAAAAATCTGTATATGCCAACTTAAGCATGAAATAGAAATATAGATGGTTTCAGTTTCTGAGATTTGCGCATCCTGCTAAAATCAAATCACAAAGTGTGAATGCAAATCCATTGTTCAATGTTTCAACAAAATCTTTAAGCAAATCCGTGCTTTATGCATATAAGAAAACTATAAACCTTTGTTGGGCCGTTTGATGTTAATTCGTGTAATTTTTTTTTCGAGGAGAAGGTGGCATTGAATACGGTTCTAGGAGATTGAATGGTGACTAGAAATATAAAAATGCCGGCAGACCTGCATGAATTGAATCGAATGTTTTAAAATGAAAGAAAACGGTTTAGTGTTATAGAAGGTTGCAATAATTCAGTTTAGTTTAGTGTAGACATGAAAAAAAAATAAGGGCATTTACATAAATATCATCCAATTCCTATGTATTTATATAGCCGTCAACTAAACTTTACTTCTTACATTCATACCATCCAAATCTTTCACATCCTATCAAAATACCTTCATTTTAATTTAAAAAAAAAAATGAAATCCACCTTTTCATGCATAGGTAAGATGACATGTATGTAAAAATTGAAGCTTGTGTTAGGCATGTAAATACATAGGAATTGTGTTTAATGTAAGTAAATCATCCAATATAAATCAAATTGTTCAAGGAAAAAAGTATGCATTATGCTAAATAATGATAATAATAATATTCTATTAAAGGACTCAATCTGATTTATGCATGAATAATAATGATAATAATACAATAATGATAATAATAATAATAATTATTATTATTATTGCTATTATTATTACTGTTATTATAAGAAATTGGACTATTATTATAAGAAATTGATTAATTAGCGTCAGTTTTAACGTCAAAAAAATTTTGACACAAAATTTAGCGTTGGATGTGCGTCTATCTTAGGCCAAAATTGTACTGTTATTATAAGAAATTGATTATATAGCGTCAGTTTTAACGTAAAAAAAAATTTGACACAAAATCTAGCGTTGGATGTGCGTCTATCTTAGGCCAAAATTGATCAGGGATGTGATTTGTATCGCCCTTGCAAAATATTTGTGGTGAAAATTGAGTCGTCAATGCCAACACAAACTATTTGTGTTGAACTTTGTGTCGGCAAATTATCAACATAATAATTAGTTAATAGCGCCGACGGTTCAGACGGTATAACCTACATTAAATAATTTATGACGCTAAAGTCCGACACAAATCCGACGTAGGCGCCTTAAAGTTCTAATCCTGTGTGATAGTGCCTCATTCACGTTTTTCACTGACAGATTGCTTAGGGCTCTGATGAACCATCTTCTCCACCGAGCATTTGATGTGTCAGGGGTTTATGGTTTCCATGAGAAAATTGAAGCTTAGAGTTTGATATGTTGTATATAAGAATTGTGTAGTTTGTATGTAAAGATTGAAGTTTGGTTGTTAGATATGTGTTACACAAGAATTGTATGGTTTGTATGTAACAATTAAAGTTTAGGTGTTGGATACATAATGCATAAGAATTGTGTGGTTTGTATGAAAAAAATACAGTTTAGGGTTAGATATGTAATACATAAAATTTGTGTGATTTGTATGTAAAGATTGAAGTTTGGCTGTTAGATGAGTAATACATAAGAGTTCAGTGGAACATATGTAAAAATTGAAGTCTAGGTTTAGCCATGTAATACATAAAAATTGTGTGATTTATTTGTGAAAATTGAAGTTTACGTATTAGAAATGTGATACATAAGAATTGTGTG